CCATTAACAGAAACTCAGTACTCAGTACCCCCTAAGCAAGGACTCCTCCTTTCCCCAGTAGCCGCTAGTAAACTTTGGTCTGTATGCATTTGCCTATTTCATATTAGTGGGATCATATCATATTTCCCCTTTTGTGACTAACTTATTTCACTCAGCATATTTTCAAGGTTCATCCATGTGGTAGCATGTACAAGATTTCATTTCTCTTTATGGCTGAGTCGTATTCCACTGAGTATATGTACTACGTTTTGTTTACCTATTCATCTGTTGATGGACATTTAGGTTGTTTCCATCTTTTGGCTAGAGTGAACAGTGCCATAGTGAACATTGGTATACAAGTTTCTGTTAAGTAAAAAACAAAATGACCTTCTATGTCAAGTCTGGACCTTTCCAAGACCAATAAATCAAAATGGCCATTAGTGCCAGGTACAGACCTTGACAGAACAATAGGTCTTTCCCAGAAAAAGAACTTGACACTGAAGGATGTTTCTGAGTCACCATACCAGCCACAAACAATTCCCACCAGACAAGTATACCCACGAAACCAGTGATGGAAAGACTGCTACTTTGTAAAATCCTCCCGCCAATTAAGGATATACCTAAGACCCAATCATTCAACTTCCCGGCTGGACACCCCCTAACTGCCTTTAGGAACCCTGTACTTGGGCTGCTAGAGTGAACTCCTTCCTCAGCACTTTCAGTTTTAGACACTCTCTGTGCTCCAACTGCTGTCTCACTTAGTAAACCCTGTGGATTAATTTGACTAGTTGATTAGTTTTTCCTTTTGACACCAATTGTAAACTGTTGAATTAACCCTGGTAGACTTTCTGCCATAGAATGCTATGCAGATATTACAAGCAGTGAGTCAAATCTTTTTGCATTGACCTAGGAAGCTGTTCAGGAGAACAGGAAGTGAAAAAGCAGTGCCGAGGAATGTGACTAGTAGGATTCCATTGTTATTTAAAGATAGGAAGGTGGGAGAACTCTGAATATGTGCATGGTTTAC